AAGTTTAAATGGTCATAGTAATTTATTTTAAGTGATTGATTTGTATTTATTTATTGCTTATGTTCCTTGATGTTTCTTATAGTCACTTCTAATTACTTGTCAATAAGTATTTATAAACATTAAGAAGAGCATGCATACTATTTTTCTCAGCATCCAAAGTTGATGCTTTAGGATAAAATTGTAGGTGCAGCACAGACTTATATCACTCAAATTTGTTGCTTTGGATATTCATTTACTTTAATTTGTTTTTCATTGTTGGGCAACAGTATATTGAGTGAATCATATTTATCTTACACAATATAACATAGCTATCTGCTGCTAGGAAAGTTTGTTTATTGTGTCATACTAGACAATTTTTCTTGCTATAATCTATCTTACACATTTATAAGTTTACAATTCATCCATGCATTGAATATTACTGCCACATCTGGTCTGGTGCTTCTGCTATATATTTAGTGCGTCTATATAAAATATAAAGAATAATTTGCAATGTTATTGGTCCTGACCTGGCATCTTCAGTCACTTTCACTCTGTAACATAGCTTCCATGTGCCTTTTCTATAGATATCTTCATGGTAATTTTTCTGATGAAGTTTCCTCTTTGTTACCTAGACTTTTAACCACATTACTAGATTGGTGTTAAGGTCTCATTTCCCACATAGAGCAACTAGAATTGTAATATACAAACACATAAAAACTATGCACACAAACTTTGCTTGACATGTGGAGTCTGCTTAACCAAGGAGAAACAAACTCTATAAAAATAAAAAAAATTACTATAATTTTGTTTCTCCTCCATATTTCATTTTCTGATGATCTACCACTTGTCCCTTCAGCTCCTCAACCTCCGGCATCTTCCTCTTTGGGTTGAGGCGCCCACTCGGTCTGAACTGAACTCAGGGGTAGCTGACCGCACGCTCCCTAAGTACCCGTAGATTGTTTGACTGGTCACTGGCCAAGTTCCGCCTGCTGTCCACGTTGTGTTAGTTTTTAGATCCAGTAAGCGGGATGTTGTCCATACGTTCACGGTCGATTGGGTATGTAGACACGGCTGTGAGGGTGGGCAGCTGGAAAATTAGAATGTGGCAAACAAGGAAATAATATCTGCAGAAGCCGAACAACAATGGGTAAAATATTGATGTCTTTTATATAAGAAAACAACAACAGTAGAAAGAGTTTACAGAAAGGATAGAAAAGCAATTAACATAAGAACAGAGGACCACTCCTCTACCAATTATCCCAACAGAGAGAGGTGTGTGTGTGTGATTAACTCGTTCCAAATCAACTTGGGAGGATATGTGACACGTAATTCCAGCCCTACGTGGAAGTGTAGCTTTTCAGTTGGTTGTCGTAAGTGACAAATGTTAAGTTTCAGCGACTTTTCAATGCGACTGCTACAACGACGATGATATTTCTTGTAGTCCTTATCTCTGACTCGCCACTGGACCGACTCACTGCAACGACAGTCTCACTCTCTCAACATCACTCTCGTCTAACGCCCAAGTCTCCCCAACTCAGCAAAACTCGCGTTTATATAGCAAACTGAAGGTTATAAGCCAGGTTGTTCACGCGCTTAACACGAGTGTCGCCATAAGCAAAGTTTAAATTTAGATCTATTTCAAATCTCTTAAATTAATTAGTTCAATGTTCATTTCAATTGTCTTTTCGATGACCAAATTCAGCGGATACAACTTATGTTTAGATCAGATTTCGCTAGCGGTAAACATACACTGATCTTACCTCCCCGGTCCAATTTACTTCAATATGTTTTTATCAAAAATATCATTTTCATCTATTTTTTCTTTATTTTTAATGACCCAAATTAAACATCGCTTCCTGCCCTTTTGCATTTGTTTATAAACAAGTCCTCACCAACCCGATTTGAAATTTATTCTTTATCCATCAGCCGTCTCAGGTTTCATATATCATTGTTCTAGATTCTTTCCTATTAATAGTGCTGACACAGTTTGTAACTTTCACGGAAGATCGTGTTTTCCATCTTCAATCAATAAACGTTATATTTGCATGTGTGCATTCATGTGCGTCAACCTCTCTCTGTTATAATGAGGCTTATTTAAAAAGCAAAATATGTTAAATTTATAAACCTTTCCTATTTGTTCCTTATCCTTTCATTCAGCCAGATTTTAATACATATTTGATCCCAATTTAAAAATATATATATATATATATATATATATATATATATATATATATATATATATAATTTATTCAAAAGGCTATATGACATGGCCTGCAAATTGCATTCAACCATGAAACAGACTATCACTGCTCGATATTCACTTCAGTGTCCAATTTTATATTTACCAACACTCTATCCCTAATAGTGAATAATTTTACCCATAAATATAGCACAACCTTAAAATTATATTTGTATCATACATGATGGACTCTCCCGTCGATTTTGTATGAGGACCCAACAACCACATTCAGTTTTTATGTTTGTATTGTTATACTAGTGATCAGAATACAAGTCTGCAACAGCAAGGATCTCAGGACATAGCCACAGGAATATTTTCTGATGCTTTTCACTGTTGTTTTCATCTCTTAGCCAGTCAATATGACTGATTTTGAAATTTCTGATATCACTCTTGCACAAATATCTCCAGTTATTTCCACCCAGAGCAACATGCTCAAAGTTAATATGAGGCACGTTTTAGATTGTCTCTATACCTGAGCCATCCAGCATTCCTTTATCCACTGTCAAGCTGGCTATATATGAGGACCTTAATTATTCTCTCATCACTCATCCTTGCAACAAGATGATCAGTCGATCAAAGTTGTGACTGCATCAGGAAAGTCTCAATTCCACCAATGTTGCATTCTGTGAGAAGATCAGCAATGGACACCTTAGCACACAAACACACACACACACATTATATATATATATATATATATATATATATATATATATATAATCATCCACATACAAGCTTATTTCTCTGTATCACAGCTGATCAGTGTGGCTAGATCTCTGATTGCTTCAGGCCAGGATCAAGATTTGACTTTATTTGGCATCAGTCAAAAATTCTATCCATAAGCTATCAGCACATGACAGAAAAAGGGAATTTTTTTAATATATTATATATGAGATGTATACAAACACCAGTAGCCAAGAGTGCTCAATTTGTAATTGCAAAGCAGTATGTTAATAGCAGAAGCAGCCACTGATTTTTAAAATTACCCTTTCTCTATAGTGCTTAATCAGCTAATGATAACATAGCCTGTTTTGCTGTATCACAGCTCATCAGTGTGGCTAGACATCCGATTGCTTCAAGCCAGGATCAAAACTCAACCAATTTGGCATCAGTCAGAGATTCCACCCCTAAGCTATCAGCACACTCCAGAGAAAGGTAAATTTTTTAACATATTATATACAAGATGTTTACAAACACCAGTAGCCAAGAGTGCTCAATTCATAATTGAAGAGTGATGCATTAATAGCAGCAGCAGCCACTGTTTTTAAAATTACCCTTTCTCTATGGCGCTCAATTGGCTAATGAGAACATATAAAATATTATCCATTGAGTGCTGGCAGTAATAAAGGACTGTTTGATGTATAACAACAGAACTAAAATTTATACTAATAATAAATATACATTCTGTTCCTATCTGGTAGCACAACTCTAATCATCAGGTGTTGTTTAAGATATAGACATATATATAGATAGGTAGATATAGATATAAATATAGATGTTAGTAAGATGAAAATAGTATCTGGAAAGCATTTTAATGACACGTTTCACTAATGTGTGTTAGATTTGGCTTCTTTAGGTTCAAATGTAAGTAAAATGTGTTAGGATTTTTGAGGATAAGAGGGGCAATAACTTAAATTACCTTATTAGAACAAATGACCAGAAAGTGTTGTTTTTTATTTATATACAGGGTGATTGAAAAGTAACTCCCTATTTTATGTATGAGTGACCAGCTAGCAGTCCTGACTTAACACCCCTGTCACTTTTTTCTTTGGTATTGGTTAAAGGTCTACTATACCCAACCAAGACTTTGGAAGAACTTGAAGGGTGAATACAAGAATTTATGTCTTCCATACCACAAGAGTTTCTGGTGAAATCAGTTGTCACAATTCCTGGGCAGCTTGAGAAGTTGGTAGCGAAATCTGGTGCCCATATCAAATTTTAAATAAAACCTCATGCTAAACTCTTTCCTCTCATATCCATTTCTTGTTAAAATTATAGTTAATAAATAAATTATAAGTATTTAAAAATGGAGAGTTACTTTTTAGTCACCCTCTGTATTAGAGCTGTTGGCATCTGTTGGATTTTAAATCACTCCACTCTAGATTTTTTTTCTCTTAGCTCACATAAAGCATTTTGCTACTATTGCTTTTGTGATGATCGGTTATATTATGTACACACTAAATATATATATATTTTTATTTGTGCCAATCCTTTTATATTTATGCTTACACACACGCATACACATACTTTATCTCAGTATAATTATAAATATAGATCCAGCTAAAAAGTCATATTATTTAAAATGCTCTTTATTCCCTGACAAGATTTGCTCTTAAATGCCAATTTTCAATCCTGTCATCAAGTCCGATACTTGCTTGACATCACCTGTTCTTCTCTTCACCTATCTTGTCCCTTGAGCTCATTTCTGACAACTCACATCTGCTCTCTAGCCACCCAACAACCATGTCTTTGGGGTTTGTCACATCTTCAGTTTTGACACATTAAAACAATCACAACCTGCCAGATAGAATCCTAAGCGCCAGAATTATCAAAGATATTCCCAGGATGGAATTAACAAAACAAATGCCTCCATTAGAAATCACTCTTGAGGTTCAATATCTTTGTGAGTGGATCTTGTACTGCAGTAACAGATATAATGGACATTTTAACACGTGATTGATTGGCCCGTATCGGGTGGAACTCATTCATGCAGCAGGCACTTTCTATTCTTTTACTTTTTCCCATTTGATGACGATTTATTTCATTGTAGTTCAAACCAGTGGAAATGATTTGCTTCCTCTCTCTAACAATCACACTCTTTGACAAACAATATAATTCTTTTTCTCCCTCTCAGCTTCTCTCTCTCTCTCTCTCTCTCATTCAGTTTTCTTACACATTTCTTAACTCACACGCTTTCAGTTCTTTCTAATCTAACTCTACTCTCTCTCTCTCCGTCTCTCTTTTCTTACCCTTTTATCTGCCTTTCTCTTACTACTTGCTTTCCTTCCTAATTTAACCATCTCTCTCTTGCCTTATACTCTTTTCCTCCTCATTCTACTTCATTCTCTTTCTTAATCTCACCATCTCTTGTTATTTTCTCATGTCTTTTTCAAATTCTATTTTTCTATATATTTCCTAATGTAGCCTTCTTTTCTCTTTGCCTATCTCTCCTCTTCTCTTTTACTATCTTCTTTCATTTCATAATCATTCTCTTTTTCTTCCAAGTATCTCATTGATTGACATTTCTCTCTCTCTCTCTCTCTCTCTCTCTCTCTCTCTCTCTGTATATATATATATATATATATATATATTACTCTGCTTACTTTTCTCTCTACTATCACCTATCTTCTAATTAATTTGTCTATTTTTATATCTTTCCTTTTTCTGTTCTCTTTTCTCTTGTTTCACAGACTTTTCATTCCTTTTTCTGACATTTCTTTCTTATATCTTTTTTTATGTTTCCTGTCTCACTAACCTTCTCCTTCTCTTGACAGGCTTTGAATATTAAAAGCCGAATGAGATTTCAGCTGAGAATAATTGATGTAAAATCAGACGAATATGAACACAAATCAATAAACAAATGGAACAAATTGATTGTTTGCGCTTCACTCTATTTTGCTCTCTTTTTACTCTGCACACCTTACTCTCCCTCTTGTCTCTCCCACTAAAAATAAAATTATAACAACTCAACTTGAGAATATAAAGTCATCATAATTACATGTTGAGAAACAAGAGAAATGCTTACCACAATAGAACAGTGTTGAATGAGGGTTTGGCAGTGTCACTAGGGCGAAAAAAAATGAAATCAGTGTGAAAAGTCTTTGTTCAAGAAATAGAAAAACATATAATGTGTCTTGAACAGAGGAGGGGCAAGAATGAAACCCTTGGTCCATGATGACAAGAACCAACATACAGATACACACAATAACAAAGTCTTATACACATATACACATAAAGCAAGCTCTCAGATAGATGCACATCCATGGAATGAGCTGTTATATACCCACAATGCAAAGATATACACCCACCAATAAGACAACAGCAAAAATAAACAAAATGTATGTAAAAGATGTGTTGTAAGAGAACACTTTCACAAAACCAGCTGAACATCCCTTTAGACCAATTACAAAAAAACAAACATTAAAACTCCTTTGGTAAAATAATAATAAAATTTTGTATTTATAACTTTCCACAAATGTTATATCTAAGTAAAACTGCTTGAACGTGTAAGTAGTATAACAGTGAATCGGAAAGAGAAACTGGTGATCCTGGTTCAAATCTCAGCCAAGTTTACTTCATTCACCTTTGCATATATATCCTTGGGAAAGCTAAGAATTCATCTCTTCTCCACCTCAGTTTAAATAGTAAGAATAATTGGGATCCCTTGCCTTGATGTAGCAACTAGTCTGAAAGGAAAACTTTGAATTCAAATCAAGCCTGAAAAGGTATGGGCTACATCCGGCTAGCTTGCTCTAGACAGGCCACTATTGCTATGACTGCTGTACATGTGATACTTCCTTCAAACCTAATGTATTACTGGACTTGTGACATGATGTAATGAAAAATCTTTGACAGTTTATAGTATCTGGGAAGGCACAATGGTTATCCACATGGAAAATGGAATCAACAACTTAATTTAAATTTAAATTTCAGCCAAATTTATTGCATTCATTTCACAGTAAAAACCATAGAAAAGGCATGCATTCATCTCTTTTCTCTCCAGCTATGACATTTTTAGCCTTCATAGTCAACCAGTTTAGGAGAAAGACAACAATGAATTCAAGACATATGGAGATGACAACATTAAATTACTCCTCTAGCTTTCCCTAGAACAGTCATATCAATGCAGATTGAAGATGAGGAGAGCTATGATCCCTTATATCCTGAAAGGACATGACATCAAAATGAAATAGTGGCTGGGATAGATAACTATTCCCCATCTCTGTCAGAAGCAAACACAAGTAAAAACCAGAATTTTGAAGGCTGATTTGAAAAGCAGACTCACTTGAAAGAATGGTGCAATACAATCTTTCAGTCTCATATTTAGCTTAGTGCCTGCCTAAAGTGAGCTTACTAAATAACTTTCACTAAGTGAAAGTAGGGAAATCAGAGACATCACATACTCTAATTTCTTCTTCTATGTACCACATCCCTTCAGGACATAGGCGATCATGGCTCTAAACAGCTTCGTATCTCATGTGATTCTTAGCATTTTATTATCTCTCTGCTAAGGTTCCTACCTGCCATTCAATCATCCATTCACACAAGCTTGTCAGGTAAGTGGCTTGCTACCTTTCCCTATTTCTCTTGCCCTCAATGTGCCCTGTGTGGGTCAAGTCACTTTTTGAATTACTTCAACCTTGGCCCAATAAAAGCATTGGTTGAATTAATCCAAAAAGTGACTTGACCCAAAGAGTCATGAGTTCAATATCTGGTTACAGCAGAGGAAACAAAAACTTGGAGAGTTGAGTTACCAAAGAGAATTAACTGAAACTGAGATATCAAGAAAAGGCATAGTATGTGGAATTCAAACAATCTACCACTATAGACCAAATAAAGTGTTTAGTTTGAAATTCCAACATATATAACCTGAAGAAGGCTGGCGTGTACAATGGCCAAACTATTGTGAATATGGCAATAAAGATGAGGGCAATGGTTCAAATGGTGTAAAAGACAGATGTCAGAAACAATATATTTCAGTTTATGGATAATTAGATTTACTCTAAAATTCATTGTAATACAGTACTTCACTAGTAACAATTTTACTCTAAAACTATCAGTTTTGATTTGTTACCTGATCTTTGAATGTCATTTTTCAGAAAATTTTACAAATTGGGCTATAAAAAGTTACATCTGTTGAGTGAATAAAAATTTTAAAACGCAGTTATTTTTTCAATATTCTTCTGCATCTTGGTATGTTCATAAAGAATTTTTTTTTTTTGTCATGCAAACTGTCAACATTTGATCCCATGTTGTTTAATAATATTGATGAATTACTGTTGAAAGATAGCTGCAGTATCACTTAGCTTCTCCATCAGTGCTGACTGCTTCCAAACAGTTTTGCCAACCTGATCTCACTTGCAGGACCTTGGCCAATCCATTTTCAGGCAATCTCAAATGGTGCTGACTACTGTGATTGTCTCCCCATGTCAATATTATTACGAAGTCATTGTTTTGACAAATCAATTTTGGCAAGATTTGAAACCAGGCCTCATGTTTAGAATCCTAACATTCTAAACACTTGACCATGTGCCTATTACAATTTCAAGATTAATCATTTTATTCCACTATCATCTGCTATCTTTCAGGCAACTTCATAATTCCATCCTCCCAGAATATTTTCATACTATTGTTTACCCAGCACAAAGCTCAAGAGTCACTCAAGGTAGAGGGTTATTGAATGCAGTTGTTCTATGGATGTAACAGGAGGAGGTAAGAATTGCATATTATGGTAATATGTAGGATAAATAATGGTTGACCCTGGACTTGAAGATATTAAGATTGAAGTGATTGAAGAGGTATTCTCTCAGGTGTCTGTTCCCCAAGGTAATGGTTCTTGTGAAGAAGCTGTCCAAACAAAACTTCCTTCTTACTAATGGAATTAAAGAGGATTTACCCTATATACATGGCATGGTGGATCTTAGCTGTAAAGGTCTGAACTGGTGAAACTAAGGAATATAGGTTATCAGAACATCTTCCATGGAAATAGTGATAGATTAGTGAGAGGCTAGCAAGCATTCATTTGTGGGAAAGGGGTTGAAGAGTGAAAAATAATTTGTCACCTGAAAGGTGTAGATGCTTTTGAAGTCTGCATAGGCCAAAAAGAGAGGATTGAGCAGCTTTAACCCAGATATGACAGTAAAGAACTGCTTCAGGTGCTTTTTGTAGTCTTCAAGGGAATTTAAATCATGGCTGTGAATTGTTAACATAATGTAATTGCAACAGTACTTATTCAAATCAATCATTTGGTTCTTCCAATCCAACCATAAACAAGGTATCACTTGCTGTGGAAGAAACTGGTCTTAAGTGCAAATCACAAGGATCTCTTGCATCAATTTTTATCATCCATCACAATTTGTTTTTAAAAATATTAAACATTTTCATTGCATTGAATGAAAATACAGTTGTTTTTTCCTTTTTTGCTTAATCTATGGGAGTGTAAAATTTTTATCTAAATGAAGAAAAATCAAATTTCATTAATTCTAATTGAACTGCTATAAATCCAATATTTATTTTAATCAACAGTATCAATCAATATGTCATATTTGATTATAGCAAATTAAATTTTTTTAAAAAGTGATTGACTGAGAATTATCTGAAACTGAACACTGATACTACAACTGATATTTTGCATTAAGATGTGTTTTACACCAAGTCCATTTTGACAGAGGGGACACAACTTCCCACTAAGAAATATATTTAACTTACATGACAAAGCAAATGTAAAAAAATGAATTAGGCATTAATTTTTTTTTTTTTTATTAATTTGAGCTTTTCAACTCAGGATCTGATGACTCAAACTTTGATAGTTTTGAGAACATATATATATATATATATATATATATATATATATATATATATATATATATATATATATATTATTCAACCTCAGTTAAGTTCATAGAGTCCACAACTCCATACCACAGTTAATTGTAAATGTCATAATTTTTTATATAGCTGTATAGTATGCATGTAACCAGGCTATATACCCAGTTTTTGAAGATTTTTTTATTCAGTTTTCTTCCTCCTAGACTGGTTGCCAACCATGGCTGCACTGCCATTTAACCTGGGGTAGAAATGATGAATTCATACCTTTCCCAAGGGTATTTGTGTGAAAGTGAATGTAGCAAATTCGGTTGGCCAATTTCTCTTTCTTAGCCACTTTTTTTATATTTTCAAAATACTATTATCATTAAAGATGTTTGATATTTATTTGATGTTTAACAGCATATCAATTACTTATGGGTCATTTAATGCCAAAATTTAATTTTCTTCAGGGCTTTGAAGTAATAAAAATATGATGTATGTTATTTTGCTTTCACAATTTGGTAGATGATACTCAGCTTTTGTGCATATGCATGTTTTTGGGGATATAATATATGTGTCTTTTATGTTGTAGTGTTGTTGAAGTTACATTTTGGAATACAGTTTTATTTAAGAAATTGTAGGATATTATATGGATTAATGTCATGAAAGTTTTCTTTCATGTTGATTGATGCATTATTGGTAATTTTGCAATAAATAGGTATACTTGGTAAGTTTTTTATATAAAAATGTATTGCT